CACCTATGCGACCGAATCATTGACTATGCGGCCGAATCACTGACTATGTGGCCGCATCACAGCTTATGCAGCCGTTTTTGCTGCTTATGCAGTGGGCACTGCATCAAAAAAGATTGCTTATGCGGTTTGGGGGTATGCGGGCGCATATGCGCCGTATCATAGCCTCATTACGCATCTTAGTGCGCATCTAGCCGCATGATGTTCCGCAATGTTATTTTCGATTTTGCTTATTGGGGATTAGCAAAACAGTTTTTTTACCATAAAAAATTGGGGGAAGTAGTTTGGCGGTATTAAACCCCTAAACAAGCACTTACAACGACTTTCATGGCCTTTTTGCGATCAAATCGAGCAAAAAAAAAAGGCAGAAATTGTTTTTCATTGAGATCTTGGATTTGAGGATTGTATGACAGTTAGTTTTGAAAACAAACATAAAAGACGTGAAGAGAGCTTTAAAGCTTCATTGGACAAGGTGGAAGTGCACAAGTGCAAGGGCAGTGCCTCCACAATAGTGTTTTATAATGTGGCCGCAACATCGCATATACGGCCGCATTGCCGCATATGCGGCTGCATCGTCGGCTATGTGGCCGTACGACCGCTTATCCGTTGGGTGCCGCATCGGAATGGACCGCATATGCGGTTTGGGGGTATGCAGGCGAATATGCGCCACATCAGAGCCTCATTGCGCATCATAGCGCATATGGCTGCATGATGTTATTTTCGATTGTACCCCTTGTGGATGGGCAAAATAGTGTTTTTGACTATAAAAAATTGGGGTAAGAAGTTTGGCTGTATTAAACCCCTTAAATGAGCATCCACTTTTGTGGCTTTTTTTTTATCAAATCAAGCAAAAAAAGAAAAAAGGCGAAAATTGTTTTTCATTGAGATTTGGATTTGAGGATTGTTTGATCCTTGGATCTTGATTTGAACCTTTGGGTTGTTGATTTGGGGAATTTTAGGTGAATTTGTAACAAGAAATCGGGGGTTTCTAAGGCCGTGAAGAAATCGAGCACCGGTTCAAGAACCGATAAAGTTCGGCTTAAGAATGAAAGACACACTTTACTTGGACTCAATATGAGAAAAAAAATAAGTGCTCCATTGATTTATGGTGGTGAAAGGGAGTTAGGTAAAATGATGGGGGAGAAAATTAGGGTTCTAAATAAATATTTCGCGAAAGAAATTGAGAACTAAGAAAAACATTTCTCCATATTCTTTCTTCATTCTGCCACCTAATTTTTAATCTATGTTTGTGGTTTTTATTCTTATAAGTGTTGTACACGAAATTGCCACCTAAATTTTAATCTATGTTTGTGCTTTTTATTTTTCTAAGTATTGTACACGAAATTGATAGATAGGGTTAGTTGAAAGGCTATACAAAATTAAGTTCTAGTTGTATAGGCGATGAACTTCTATTTCCAATAAAGAAAATATGTAACGACACAATTTACAAAAAAATATTTCCAATAAATCAAATATGTAACAATACAATTTATAAGAAAATATGTAACAACACACTTTACACAAAAATATTTCTAATAAACAAAATATGTAACAACACAATTTACAAAAATAAAAATAAAAAAAATAAAAAAAATAAAAAATAATAATAATAAAATGATACCATTTAACTTCAGCTTAAAAGCCTTCCCAAATGAAGCCTCACGAATCATTTGGGAGGGTGTTTCTCGTCTGGACATATTCTTCTCGTTTTTAATGAAGAATTTGGTTTTCCTCTTTTAGATACTCGTATCTTGGGTCACTCAAAGGTCAAGGGCCTAGGCAATGGCACATGTAAGGCACGACCTGCGCAGAATTAAGGGGCCAGGGGGCGTCTGTAGGGGCTAGGGCCTGTGTAGGGGCTATAGAACAATTTTTTGTGTTTTGATTTTTTTTCATTTTCAAAACAGTTTACCATAACAAAATTGTTATTAAAACTGCCCAAACAAAAAATAGATTTCTCATTACCCTCACGTAGTAAGACTTTTTCATAAACTTTAAGATTTCTTTTTCCATGTATAGTGGAGGTCTACTCCTCTTCGATATGTTTACCCTTTGAATGAGCTATTTATGAAAATCCTACTTGCTTCGATATGTTTACCCTTTGAATGAGCTATTTATGAAAATCCTGCCTGCTAACAATTTTCACAAAAATATTTCCGTGTATAGTGGTCGTCAATCCTTAGTTTTGATCTAATTGTAAATTTCAATAACTCACATAGGGTAAAAAAATAAGGTGTTACACTTTTGGACCTTGGTGGGTATGAATTAATCGAATAATATGTAAGATTATTTACAACAATATTGGAAGACTTTCATTTTATTACAAAACATTTTGTTTTGTTTTGGATTATCTCCATTTTGATAGCACTTAACAACAATGACAATGCTATTAAAGTAGCCGAAACATATGACCCATTTATGAAAATCCTTCCAACTAAAAAATAGAGTATGATTAGCAATGCACATATGACATTTAGTTTTGAAAACAAACATAAAAGATGTAAAGAGAGCTTTAAGGCTTCATCGGGCAAGGTGGAAGTGCACAAGTACAAGGGCTAGTGCCTCCACGACAGTGTTTTAAAATGTTGCCGCATTGTCGCATATGTAGCCACATCGCCGCATGTGTTGCCGCATCGCCGCCTATGCAGCAGCATTGTCACCTATGAGGCCGCATTGCTGCATATGAGGCCGCATAGCCGCATATGAGGCAGCATCGCTGCCTATGTGGCTGCATTGCCCCCTGTTCGGCCGCATTGTCGCCTATTCGGTCGCATCGCCGCGTATGCGGCCGAATCGTCGCCTATGCGGTAGCACAACCACATATACAGCTGCATTGCCGCTTATGCAGTGGGTGGGCACCAAATCGAAAAAGAGCGCATATGCGGTTTGGGGTTATGCACCGCATCAGAGCCGCATTGCTCATCATAGCGCATCTGGTTGCATGATGTTCGCGATGTTATTTTCAATTGTGCCCCCTGGGGATGGGCAAAATAGTCTATCAAAAATTTAGGGAAGTAGTTTGGTAGTATTAAACCCCCTAAACGAGCATTTACAGCTACTTTCGTGGCTTTTTTGTGATCAAATCGAGCAAAAAAAAAAAAGGTGGAAATTGTTCTTCATTGAGAACTTGGATTTGAGGATTGTATGACATTTAGTTTTGACAACGAACATAAAAGATGTTAAGAGAGCTCTAAGGCTTCATCAAGCAAGGTGGAAGGGCGCAAGTGCAAAGCCAATGCCTCAATAGCAGTGTTTTAAAATGTGGTCGCATCGTCGCTTTTGCGGCTGTATCACCGCCTGTGCGGTCGCATCGTCGCATGTTCAACTGTACCACAGCCTATGCGGTCGCATCGCCGCTTATGCGGTGGGCACCGCATCGAAAAAGACTACATATGCGGTTTGGGGGTATGCGGGCGCATATGCGCCGCAACAGAGACGCATTGCGCATCATAGAGCATCTGGCAGCATGATGTTCCGCGATGTTATTTTCGATTGTGCTACTTGAGGATGGGTAAAATAGACTTTTTGGCCATAAAAAATAAGGAGAAGTAGTTTGGTGGTATTAAACCCCCTAAACGAGCATTTATAGCCACTTTCGTGGCTTTTTTTAGATCAAATCGTGCAAAAAAAAAAAAAAAGCAGAACTTGTTTTTCATTGAGATCTTGGATTTGAGGATTGTATGACATTTAGTTTTGAAAGCAAACATAAAAGATGTGAAGAGAACTTAATGGCTTCATCGGGCATGGGGGAAGTGCGCAAGTGCAAGGCCAGTGCCTCCACGACAGTGTTTTAAATGCGGCTGCATTGTCACATATACGGCCTCATCGCCGCATACGAGGCCTCATTGCCGCCTATGCGCCCGCATCGCTACATATGTAGCTACATCGCTACATATGAGGGTGCATCGTTGTAGCTGCATGTGAGGCCGCATTGCCGCCTATGTGGCCGTATCGCCGCCTGTTCGGCAGCATCGCCGCCTATTCGGCCGCATTGCCGCGTATGAGGCTGTATCGCCTACTATGTGGCCGCATCGTCGCTTATGTGGTGGGCACCGCATCGAAAAAGACCGCATATGCGGTTTGGGATATGCGGGTGCATATGCGCCGCATTAGAGCCGCATTGCGTATTTTAGCGCATCTGGCTGCATGATGTTCCACGATGTTATTTTCAATTGTTCTCCTTACGGATGGGCAAAATGGTCTTTTTTACCATAAAAAGTTGGGTAAGTAGTTTGGCGATATTTAAACCCCTAAATGAGAATTTACAGCCACTTTTATGGCTTTTTTTGGATCAAATCGAGCAAAAAAAGAAAAAAAAAAAGAAAATTGTTTTTTACTGAGATCTTGGATTTGAGGATTGTATAACATTTAGTTGTGAAAACAAATATCTCGATGCGGCCACATCGCCGCTTATATGGTGGGTACTACATCGAAAAAGACCGCATATGCGGTTTGGGGGTAAGCGGGTGCATATGCGCCACATCAGAGCCACATTGTGCATCATAGCGCATTTGGCCGCATTATATTCCGTGATTGTTGTTTTCGATTGTGCCCATTGAGGATAGGCAAAATAGTCTTTGTTACCATAAAAAGTTGGGAGAAGTAGTTTGGTTATATTAAACCGCTTAAACGAGCATTTACAGCCACTTTCGAGGCTTTTTTTAGATCAAATCAAGAAAAAAAAAAAAAACGGAAATTATTTTTCATTGAGATATTGGATTTGAGGATTGTATGACATTTCTTTTTTAAAACAAATATTTCAATTTTCAAAATTTTCTTTTGAAAGTAATATAATCTAAGGTAATTACCAAAATTTCTTACTAAAAAACCTCCTAAGTAGATCATCTTACTCAAGGAGTACAAGTACACGATGCTCCCAAGGGAGTATAGTAAAGAAGTAAATTATGCTCGAGGGAGCATAGAACACAGGTTCCTAAAATATTAAAGCCGTACAAATAAACAGAATGCCGTCTTACGTGTAAATCGGCGAGAACCGGTGAGTTTTGAGAGGGAGAGTCGAATGCTTTCCAAATTTCAATCATCTTCGTTTACTTTTTCCTTCTTTCCTGTTTGCACATAGGGAGAGAGGAAATTCCAGACTTTTCACTCTCCTGTATCTAGAGAGAGAGTGGGGAATTGAGAGTGAGAGAGAGAGAGTTTTCACTCTCCTGTATAGGGAGATCGGAATTCGTGTTTCAAGTTTCACCTACACAACTGAGAGAGTGACGTGATTTTGTACTCTCCTTACATAACTCAGAGAGAGATTAATTTCCACAGGAACATAATCTAGAGAGAGAAAGAAGTTTCTTTACCAACTCTCAGCGTGAGCTTTCTAGAGGGAGAGAGAGGATTACTGTGGTTGCGGAACATTTACAGAGGAGAGAAGAGTTTCTGTCCCAAGTCTAGAACACCCACCATCTCCTTCCTCTCTAGAGAGAGAGAGAGGTTTTCAGCATTATTGGGAACACTTGACAGAGATAGAGGGAGCAGTTTCTGTCCAGGCACCCGCCGAAGTTGCGGTGAATAGAGAGAGAGAGGGAGGTTTGTTTGTTTCTCTCTCTACATTTTGCTGTTTTTTTTGGTGGTGATGGGCATGAAAGTGAAGGAATCGGAGAGTGTGGAGATGGACACGAAAGTGAGGGAGTTGGAGAGTCTCCTGAATTACAAGTTCTCCAATCCTCAGCTCCTAAAAGTAGCACTCACCCATGCCTCCTGCAGCAGTTCGGCATCTTTAGAGAGGCTCGAGTTCCTTGGCGACGCGGCCCTCGGTAACGCCTTTGCGAAACACTTGTTCGAATCGTTTCCTGACCTGAACCCTGGAAAGCTCACCCCCCTTAGAGCAGCAAATGTCAGCACCGAGAGGCTCGCAAGGGTGGCGGTGAAGCATGGATTCTTTGATTTCTTATTCATAAATTCTCCAAGCCTCCAAGGGATGGTACCCCATTTCACCATTTCCCATCTTTTTATGAAGTCCTTGTGTTTCTCTTTGCAGAGTGTGATCCCTTATGTTTTCTCTCTCTTGAATTGCACATTCCTTTGTGTTTCTCTTTCTTGAATTGCCCCTTGTGTTACTCTTTTGAATTGCCTCTTTCTTGAATTGTATCTACAGTTTCCTCTTTCTTGCATTTCACTCTCCAGAACTGCCTCCTTTCCATGTTCCTATCCTGGAATTGCTCCCTTCTTGCGTTGTTTACCATGCTTCTCTCTCTAGAATTGAGCTTTATGTGTTTCTATCTCTAGAATTGCCCCTTTCCTCTGCATTTCTTTCTCTAAAATTTGCCGTAGCGTCCTTTTTTTCCTCTCCAGAACTGTAACCACTTATTGTGTTTCTCTCACTTGAATTGCCAATTTGCAGGTCTCGGAATTCACCGATACTGTTAACGAGAACCCTGAAGATTGTGAGTTGCTCATGAAAGCTCCCAAAGTGCTTGCAGATGTCGTGGAGTCCATTGCAGGCGCTGTCTTTGTAGATTGTGACTACAATCTCCAAAAGCTTTGGGATGTAATTGCATTTATTCTCTGATGCTCCTGTATATCTTTGCTGTTATTACACTTACTTTCTCATTTTTTATTTTTTTAAATTAACTCATTTATCGTATTGTTTTTGTGCTTTGATGCTTTAGCCGTATTTTTCTTTTGTTGTATTAATTCCTTTCTTTTGGATTGGCTTGGGTTTTGGGGGGATTATTTGTTGATACCGCATTTGTGGCGTGATAGACAGAGAAGAAATTTGTATTCCTCATATCTCCATTGTGTCTTTATGTAATTCCATACATGCATTAGGTTTATATAATTCATAGCTTTACTGTTTTCTTCTTCTGGGGTGTTTGATAGCTATCCTTTTTAAATATTTGCATGTTGCTTTATTTCTGAAAAACTTGATGCATTTTGCGCTCCTTTTCTTGCTGAGTTTCAACTTAAGCACTTTTAGATCGAAGAAAAATGGGACTGTTTTTACTGTGAAGGTCGTTGCTTAATTACTCATTGAGGGCTCTTTCCAGGTTTTCCACAATTTTTTTGAGCCAATTATCACGCCTTCCACTCTCAAAATCCATCCAAAAACTGAGCTCCTAGAGCTTTGTCAAAAGCAAGGGAAACAGTTGGAATTCATACACAAACAAAAGGGCAAAGGGAATGTTTTTGATATATTGGTTGATGGACAGTTAATTGGGAGTGGAGAGTCTGAGGTGAAGGAGACGGCCGAAATATCTGCAGCGAGGGTTGCAATGAATAACCTTCGAAATGGAGGAGCAATGAATGATGTGATTACACAGGTTTCAAGCCCTTCTGTGCATCAGGGCGATCTCATTGATGAAAGGAATTGCTTCATACCCATGAACATTGGTGAGGAGAGAGAATTTCCAAGACCTATGACAAGTAATGCTGAGGAGAGGGAATTGCCAACACCCATAGCAAGTAATGCTGAGGAGAGAGAATTGCCGACAACCATAGAAAGCAAAGCTGATGATAAAGAATTGCTGACACACATAGAAAGCAAAGCTGAGGATAGAAAATTGCTTAGACCCATAAAAAGTAATGCTGAGGCGAGAGAATTGCCAAGGCTCATAGCAAGCAATGTTGAGGAAAGAGAAATGCCAAGACCCGTAACAAGCGAAGATGAGGAGAAAGAATTGGCCAGACCCGAAACAGGCAATGTTGAGGAGAGAGAAATGCCAAGGCCGGTAACAAGCGAAGATGAGGAGAAAGAATTGCCGAGACCCGGAACATGCAATGTTCAAGAGGAGAGAAAATCAAGGAGACCTTTAGGCAAGGGTTGGGAGGAGAAAGAATCAATGAAACAAGCTCTATACGTTTGTTGTGGAAAGAAGAGGTTCGGCAGGCCTGTTTATGAGTATGATTCTTTCACTAAATGCATCCATTTAGATTATGGTTTTTGCCTTTGAAATATGGGATTCATAACTTGTACTTTGTATCCACTTATGTTATCTGTTTTATTGTCTTCTTAACCATTGCAAATTAGCAATGCAGGAACTTTCACTTTAGAAGTTCACTTGGACCCATAACTATGGAGCATCCGTGTTTGGTATCAATTCTGGTTTTTATGAGTAATAATTTGAAAATTCTGGGAACTTTTATCTCTTCAGCTAGGAGTGATATTTTGTTTCAAATGTCATTTATTTTCTACATTGGAATTCGACTCGTGTTCTGTAGTTTCTTTTAGGCTCATGTTTGTTGTCAATGCTCATTTAATTTTCCTTTGAATTTAGTAACTCGTTATTTGAAAGCATATGCTGGTTTTAGTTTGATGGGTAAATCACTTCCAAATCTCTGTGGCTTATTAGTGCTCTCCATACATGGATTGCCTGAGAGAACAGCCCCATTCCTGTGGGGCTTAGGTGGGAATGTTCCTTTGCATCTGTCTAAGAGAACAGTTATGGAATGTTCCTGCTAGGGAATGCTGCTTCACATGGTTGTTGTATCCTTGTATAGACTCCGAATTTTTGAATCTTATGTTCTTGTTATGCTGTAATTGATGGGGTTTGTGGCTTTTAAAGGCCTAGAGAGCTTGTATATAAAATTGTTTATAGTGATTTGTACACTTCAGTGGGAGTCTATTGTAGCTGATTGACCTAGGTTGGGCAGTCCATAGTTCGAGTCATATTTAAAACCCTTACACCTTGGCATGTGGCACTACTGTTGAGGGTTAACTCTTGTTGAGGTTGGAAAGATGCTCAGGGACATTGTTTGTAGGTCAAAATAGTTGTGTGGTCTCATAGTTGCGTAGGAAGGGCCTATGAGAGCAAGGGCCAAACCCTCAACATAACTTCCACATGTCATGTGCATATGACAGCCGTAACTTGGGAAGCAACCGTATATAGAGGGACATGCATGTGCATTGAGAAAGTGGCACATATTTTTTTCTTTTAAGTAAAAATATTTTTTGGAATATTTTCTTAGTGAAAAAAATATTTGGTTAAATATATGTTTTCAAGATAATCTTAGTGATTTTCTTGTTATCTAAAAATCTTTGACCAAATTTGAATTAATTTGAATTCCTAATTATCTCTTTGTGAAGAGAATGGGATTTCTAGATGATCCTAGATTGTTCTAGATAATTCTAGATGATAAGTTTAGACTAGTTAAATTCTAGATGTGGATATGGGTCAAATCTCAGGGGGTAAGGTTCCTAAAGAGTCACTCTAGATAATGATGGTTGATCTTGGATATGAATGACTCACATTAATTTTCTCTCTCACCTCACAGATCACCTAAATAATTCTAGATCAAGTTGAACTCTTAATTTGACTGGGACACCCTAAGACTTAGTGGTCTAAAAATGGAGGGTTTCTGCCCCTCATTCTACACATCTGATCTCTCTCTCTTCTCCATGCCTTTCTCTCTAAGTCATCTCTCTCTCTCTTTCTCTCTCTCTCTCTCTCAATGCTTCTCTCTATCTCTCTCTAAATAGTCGCACGCCACCCTCGTTAATTGTCTTGGAGGGCACTCTATCAAAAGAGGGAGAAGAAGAGAGGGGCATGCCCTGCCCTAGGCTTAGGGTTTTGTGCCTTTGAGGCCTGCCCTAGCCTTTTAGATGGTATACTTAGTGAAACCCTAGTTGTGTTTATTGCTCTCTTGCCCCCGTAATAAATTCAGCATGGGTGTCTCAGAGGTGCTTCCCCGTTCAAATTTGTGAGTTTAGTAGGATCTGAAGTTTTGAGTGCGCCATTGGTCAGGTGATTGTATGTGGGGTGTACTAAGCCCTAGAGGGGTAACCCTAGGTAAACGCCAGTAAGCCTTCCCTTACTTATTTAGTATTATTTGCTGTTGTTTTTACTCATTCTTCCTAAAGTCTTAGTATTGTATTCAGTTGAACAAAGTTTATTTTTGGCAGTATGTTTATAAACATCCTAGATTGTTTTAGGTTTGAATTTGTTGTATTTGTGGCACATGCAAGTGGAATCTCCAGCAGTTAATTAAAAAATAATAATTTTTTTTGAATTTATAGCCTGGAAATTAACATAGCCACTTTTCAGTAATTGCTTATATAAGGTTCCTATCTTCCAAGAGAAAATTGAATGTTTACATTGTAATGCTATTGGCCAAAGTTTATGCTGGTTGTCTTTATCTATTGGGATATTTATATGAGATTTAACTTCTTTAGCTCTCTTGGCACATGGGTGCAGGAGTGTTTCTTTACGAGTTTATTCTAACTTCTCTTTGGAAAGCTTGAAGAAAGACATTTTTATTTTTATTTTGTAGAGATTTGATTGCCTCTAGGACTGGCTGTTGTGCTCTCTATCTTTGAATATGATTCAAAATTTGCTGTGTTGTTTGCTGATGAGGTTCTTATGCTACTGCCAGTTTGAATATTTTCCATCATATATTTGACTTGATGTGCCCTGCCTTAATAGGCTTCATTTTTGTGTGGCATGAGCATGATATAATGGATGGAGTCCAGATATTGAAGTTTATTATTTGGTATGCCATTTTGTAGTCATGCTTGCTGACTGATATTCTTGGGTCTTGAATCCTCTGATTTCAGCAGTAATGTCCTAAAAAACCCTCACTTCTGAATGTGAAGCGTGATTATCAAGTTGATGTTTCTTCTAAGTCTTTTTTCCACTTTGAGCATATCCGTGATCCATTATCTTTATTTTATGGTCCTTCACCTTTCAGAAGGCTCACTGAGTGAGCTGAGTTCAAAATAGGTGCAAAGGGCTAATTTCTCTTAAAGTGTTAGGGCCTATTTGGATGACAATTAATCATTTCAGGAATAGACTATCTTATGTGAAATTAATATACTCTGCATAATTCACCCAAAAACAATAAATATACTGTGCATAATATCCAGCTATTTTTTTAGTTATTTCTGGCTAAAAGCATGTGATTTTCAAGTTACTTTGAATAAAATAAAGATAGATTTTAGTTGACTTTCCTTTAAAAAAAAAAAAGAAAAAAGAATAGTGAAATCGACTTTTTGAAAAGATAAACTTATGTAAAACTGCCTGGAAGTTTATCTCAGTTAATTTTATGAGGGACGCTACCAAACAACATATAATTCAATATCAAGATTAATTTTGATTGAAACAATGAATTAACAGCGTTAAGAGTACATCCAAACAAGAACTGGGGATATTTTTAATATTTGATGTGTATATTTACTAGTATTTAGCATTGTATTATTTGTACAAGGGTAGTATTGTACATTACCCATAATGAGCTCCTTTGTATATCTTCAGAGTGATGAAATGAAATGCATATGGAAGCTTCCCGTTCTTCCCTAAACCTTATCATGGTATTAGTGTACAGGGTGGAAGTGAAGCCTATGTCACTAACAGTGAGACTTTTCAATCCTTCATCAATTCAATTTCTCCCATTCTTTGTCCATTGTTGTAACATTTAATTTGGATTCTCAAAAAAATGAGTATTCTTCGATGTGTGAAATTCTCAATGAGACTGGTATCCTCCCTGTGAAGATTTGCTTGTGATGATAAAATCTATATGTGTGAAATTTCATCAAAGAATAGAAACCCTGATATGGGCTTGCAAAAGGTGTAGCAATCCGCCACTTTTATGTTTTTCTCTCTTAAAATTTCACATTCATCTACCTATTTTTTCTTTCTGTAGAAATTTCTTCCCTGTCTAATTTGCCTCGTTCCTTTGTCTCTCATGACAACTCAAATGTGCCTGCTCTTCTATTCATTAAACTGTACCGCTAAACTATCTCCCATGGAAAAATCAGCTTCTGTGAGTTATGCTTAGCCAAAGTATGGCTGGTTTTCTTGATGGGTCTGCTTCCCCCCATAGTCTCTCAAAAAAATCAACAACTAAACAAACCCAATAAGTACCTTAACTTAATCAAGAACAAGAAACGTGGATAAGCTGAGATCAATTTGTGGTTAGTTGGTTAAGACATCTGGGTTGCATTGGAAAAATTATTTGCTGAAACCAATGTTATTAGGATAGGTCCAGACATCGAATCGGTAGAGGCACTGGTTCAGTTGGACCAGTCGATTTGGACTAGTTCACCAGTCAGATTAGTCAATATTAAGAAAAAAAAAAAAGGAAAAATAGGAGATACCTGAAACAATGTAGAAGAATCTTTGAAAAAATTTAGAAAATCATTAAGAACAATAAGAACATTTAAATTACAAGTGAACTTTACTCAAAAAAAAATTTTAATTCGAAATTACACAATCCTTCTCTTTCTCTCTCTTTCAAAAAAAAAACAAAGGTTAAAAGCGAAAATTACAATATGTAAGCCAAGTCGCGTGATGCATTCCACTAAGGCACTAATTCATCAAGCCAACCAATCAAACAACGAAATTGAATGGTATTGAGCAAGTAAATAGTGAAATAGTGAAGTAGATCACACCATAGTGATCATATCCAATGATCCATGATTAAGAATTTTAAAACCCCCATACTGGAATACTCCCACTCTCACTCTCATGTAGTAATAGACTCATAAAGAGTCAAAGATTGTATCATAAACCATGAACTCATGAAGGAGTAAAAAACTAGTCCACATCCTAGAAGTAGATTGGTGCTTAAATGATTATATGTGCATAAATGCTAAAACAAATAAATTCAGTTTCTATGTAACTCCACCATCTTCATCTCCTTCGTCCTGATCATTTGAACTTCCTTTTCACCATTGAAATTCTCTATAGAAATGATCTAAATCATCACCTCCACCACCAATGAGAAGGATTTTATATTACTCAATAATTTAAATAACTTATTATTTTCGAACAAACTATGCATTATAGGAGCCTAGGGGTCTTATTATTTTTGAACAAACAAATCCAACACGTAAAACGTAAATGGTACTTGTGGTGATTGCATCTTCATCCAATCATCTAATTGCCCTCCAATGCCTTCAGGAACTTTCAACAACCCATTCTTCAACAATTTGGGTCTTCTCCATGTCAATTGGATCCTAGCATGTGGTCTTTGAATGGTCCTATATTTCATATAATTTCACTAGCTTAGAATTTTAAGAAGTAAGCAAAATAAAAAATAACTATACGCATATATTGAATACAGACGCGAAAAATAGTATGAGAGCCTATTACCTTTGTGTCAACCTCAAGTTGCATTGCAGAAAGACCAGGTCATTAAGCCTCTTATGCTCCAACCAAGTTGGCCTATCCATATGGATGCATTGGAACACGCTTCAAGTTTAGCTGAGCACACGAATGACAAACTTCTGAAGGTTGGGAGCAAACACCCCAAACCCCCTCCCCCCCCCCCCACCAAAATCTTTCCCATCATTTTGTTGAAATTTGAAAAAAAAATAAAAAGAAAAGAAAAAAGAAAACAATTGAGATATTGTAATTTGCATTAACTTTGAGAGGACAAAAATAAATTAATAACATGAATCTCCAAGGAGGATATCATCACGTATGTATTATTATTGAGTGGCTAGTTATAGTGCCCAGATTCATAGTTAGGATTCAGATACGAAGAACTGGGACATGACTTGGCATTTCTTGAATCCAGTATACAGAAATGGATATTGATACGAGCATCCAATCTAAGACATTCATAGTGTATGTGTCAACATTTTTATATGTATATATACCATATAATAATGCATAAATATCTTATATTATGCATGTTTGTATGCATAAATATCTTATTTTATCCATATTGTATTTTTATGTTAATGCCATTTTGTACTTACAAATATCATAGCAATGTCTAGTTTTAGTATTGAAGATGGTACGGCTCCCACATGTTAAGAATATACAAGTATCATTGCCTCATCAGTGACAAGTAGGATACAATGTGTAGGGTTGGATTGAAGAGGACTGCAGAAAGAAAAGGTGTCCTTGGCTGATTATTACAAGTAGTTGAAGAGCTTTTCTGAGGATCTAAATGCATATTACGTGGTTAGATGAAAAGGCAGTCATAGGTCTTATTCTGGAAGGTATAAGTACAGAAGATGATCGGATTAGGGTGTCAAATGCTTTAGCTTTAAAGAAACCTTGTAGCAGCCTGAAGTCCTTTGGTTACGGCTAATTATATATGGGGCATCAAAGATGGTAATTGTACGTTCTTTTCCTCATATAAATGCTTGGAGAATCTTTATTTGCTTCAAGGACATTCTGATTCAGAGGGGCTGAACTTTAAGATTGCTGAGCTCATTGAAAGGATTCCCCAAAGTTAGAAAATTCCCTTCATTCCTTGCCTCATTATTCAAGAGACACTGGAAGGCGAGTTCCTCTCCCCGACTTCCAATCCGACTATCTAATTTGGGAACCATCAAGTTGGGTTTGTTTACATTCAAATTGGCCTGGAATTAGTGTGTGAAACCTATCCAAGTATAGACCGATGCAAATTCATATGATTTTCTCATATCTCCATAAAAAATTCTGTTTTTGCTTGGCAATTAATATGTGGGGAGATGTGGATTCTGTTGTGCCTGTGAAGGGGTCTCGCTAGCCTCCAGACGTTTGCTGTTTCCTGGTGATGTAGGGGCAGAGGAGGATGTTCTTCATTATTTCTGGGGTTTATCAAACTGCTCATTAGGTCTGTCAGTGTTCGCGAACCTACTGCTGGTTGCTTTGACGGTTGGACTAGGTCTTGTGGATAGTATTGTCTCCTGGATTCAACCTCATGCTCTTCACTGATCAAGGGGATGGTGTCTTGATCCTTTCACTAATACGAGTTTATTTGGTGGTGGTGGAAGGTTTTCGTTTTCATCAATGGCTATGGCATAACTTTGAGTTTTAAAGCTGATGTGAGAGCATTAATTGAAGGATTAACTATGATGCATCCTCTTGCAGTTTGTTAGAGTTTGGGTAGGGTCAAATTTCAAGTCTCTTATGGATTGTGGGTTTTTGGCATTGTAGGTTGTGGTGAATGTCCATCTTACATATCCTTAATGATATCTTGCTGTGCCAATCACATTTCCAGAGAGAAAAATGGGGCTTTAAACAAGTTAGCTAGCATGGGAAGACATCTGACAAGTTTGTCTTTGATCACCCACTAGAATATGTCAGAGGTCTTGTTGTATCAGATCTGCTGAAATTGCTGTAGGAAAATTGTTTCATGCGGGCTGGACCGCATTTCTACAAATGCGGTCCAGAGATTTAAAGCATCCATCTTAAAGATGGCTGCAAATAGGTGGTTCATCTAAAAACAATTGTAACTAACGGTCGAAATGTTTTCTTAATATAATTATTATTTCTAGTTCTCAAGTTTTGTTTTTCATATTCATGATCTCCATGTTAAAGATTATATGTTTTCTAAAATTTAGGATCAAATTATATTTTAAAAATATATTTATTGCCAAGCCCACATTTCTTCAATATGCGGGCTGGCTGCACGAAAACCGTGGCCATTGCTTAATTTCTAGTTTTGTTAGTACTGTTTGGAGCCCCCTATAGAGCCTTTGCTTCTTACATATTCATTCAGTCCTTGTCCATTTCTCTAAATGAGCTGGCCTTTATTGCCTTGTATAATAAGATTAGCGTAAAAGAATGAAAATGGACAATTGATTATATAACCAGAAGCATGGTGCATGGATATTGTTGTGCATGGCATTATAAATCAATTCTTTTGTTACTTTAGCTTTGTTTTGCAAGTATCCTGCATGGAAATTGAACCCATTTCTATTCGTGACCTACGACTGGCCATCGGTCTGCGGGTGCTGTGCTCTTCTTATTTGTTTCTGTTAACGACCACAAGGTCTGCCAGATGAGAGAAACCGCTCGATCTGAGATGATTGAAGATGGTAGTCCATAGTAGACCACTTCATTTTGGAAGCAGAATTCGGCCGTCCGGGTACAAAAATGGCCATCTTACTGAATCCGAAGGATCAACTACAACAAAAACGTAGTTCTTCCCCCACCTCCTACGTAATAGCACATCTTCTCACCCAAGCATGCCGTCCAAAGGATTTGAGTATTAAATTAGACTCTCACAGGAAATTGTGGGAAATCCTTGATATTGTCAGTGTGTATACCACATCGAGTCCTGCGAGTTTATTTAAAAATCATGATGGTGTCTGCTATTCTTTATCAGTTGCTTGTGGAACCTTTACTGAAGGGAATCATTTTTTACTTGAAGAGGTTTCTGATTTCCTGCTTATTTCTTGGTGTGAGCATTGTGTAACATCAAAAGAGCATGTTGACATTTGCAGACTTGTGGGAGAAGAGGGTCCTGCTCATGACAAAAGATTTGTATGCTCAGTCGAAGTTAAAATGCCAAATGGACAGTCTGTTTCTGCAAATGGGGAACCAATGGCGAGAGTGAAGGATGCTGAGAGCTCTGCGGCTGATGTGATGTTAAGGCGTTTTGCAGATATGGATGCCATGGTAATTTATACACAGGGTAATGTGTCCTCGTGCTTTTAGAAGCTGTGTGTGTGTGTGTGGAAACTACACACAGGCACACATCCCATGTAGGAAAAGAACTTGAGCTACTAAACAGTGAGTACCCTTCTAGAGAGCTTTTGTATTGTATATATTAAGGTTAAGCTAATTTCACATGGGATCATTATGGGCGGTCATTTCTGGAATTTGAGGATCTTTCATGGTAAATGATGGTTATATGTTTGTTGTGTTAGTGTTTTGATCACACCCATTCCCTTCACCATTGACAGCTTGTTGATGGTATAGTGTTCAGAGTTGGGATGCGCTCCATCTATTAGCATTGTCCAACTTGTAGACCACTTGTACACAGTGATCATAGCTCCCCAAGAACTGTGGTTTATCTTTACCATCCATCATTGAGAATGATGGTGGATACCCTGGCTGCCCTGGCTGTGTAGCATGCACCATGAACAGGTGTGTCTGGCCTACTTTCCTGTTTGGACATGTTTGCTAGTGTGTCATATTGAAACACTGGAACTTTTGGACTCCTTAGGTTGATTATGGTATTTTTGGGTGTTCTCTAAGGGAGAGAAGCTCATGATAACTCACGACCATCAGTAATATGTGGTCATGTGGGTCATAAGCATCCAACTAGTGGGTTGATGGTGACGGAGTGGCATCCGCCACCAAAGTCATGCACGTCATCCCATTGATTGGATGTTGATGGCCCTCAATGACATAGATCTCTCGTGTCATGAGGATCACAATATGGCAAACCTACGAAGTGTTGGAGTACTCTCGGACAAGTGGCTGCGTCGTGTTTTTATGTTTTTGAAAAGTTTAATGCATGACCATTGCAAAGAGAAAATTATGAATGACACATTCCCTATTGTAAAACCACAACCTAGCAAAAACAGAAATCTTAGCAGCACACATTCTATTTTGTCTCTAAAAGAATCCAGGAACAGTAAAAAGTTTATCCTGTTCGTTACAAGATCTCAAAACAACTTAGTGGTGATTTCCTGAGAGAATAAACGGAAGTCTCAAAACAACTTCTTAGTGGTGATTTCCTGAGAGAATAAACAGAAATCTCAAAACAACTTCTTAGTGATGATTTCCTGAGAGAATAAACAGAAGTTTCAATTGACAAAAAGTGTGTGGAACTCTTAGCTACTAGGATCAAAATGAAAAGAAAAACCCACTGGGATATCCCATTGATGATCCATCTACAGTAAATTTGGATATTCATTGAATATCTTTTCTCGAGGTACTTCTCTCTTCTCTGTTGTCGGGTAAGAGGGTATTGTATGACTGGAAAAACCTCAAAGTTGCCACAAGAAGCACCTCCTAACCGACCTATGAGCATGAAGACTTCTATTAAAGGAAAATGTTACGAGGGATTTGTTAACTTCTTCAAAAAAAAAATGTTAGGAGGCAGTTGTAGCGTATTTGATTTTATCTCTTAAACTTGAATTATAGTTGCATGGTTGAATCTCAACCTTACATGACAAATTGAAAATCCAAAAGAACATAAAAAAGACTGAAAATGGAAATTGTTTTCTATAGCAGCAAACAGATGGACTTAAACTCTCTTAAGGAGTAGGCATAATTAGCTGCATAGCCTGAACCAGTGTCTCTCGAAACCGTTTCAAATCGAGCCTCAAGTTCTGACCATCCACATAAACAGCGCGGCTGACGTTGTAGCCCTGCATGTGAATTACCATTGGATTGGTGAGGACAGGATGATCCGGCGGGTACTTATGATACAATGAGCTCTCCTCAGGAACAATGTGATACTCCAAGTATCGCATGCCCATGGCACCGGCAGGCTCTGCATAATAATTGGTTGAAGCCCAGTCCAACCCCAAAGGAACCACTTGAAGCAGCACAGCCCCAGGTGATAAGAAGAGGAAGTTTGCCAGCCCAGCCCCATGTGCACCGAGCAACACGTTACAGGAGGCCACCATTGGTGCAAACCTTTGTAAGTCTGCCATCCTGTGGGCTGAAACCACCGCCACCTCGAACCCCACCTCTCTCATCATTTGAATCATCTCTTCTTCATTCAGGAACACCCTCGTCTTCCTCCGAGATATCAAGAGCAAGGTTGGTCTTTTGAGCACTTCGAGAACTGGAGGCACTTGGCCATGGTCTAAAGAGAACGCCTGCATAACAAAATTTTTGAAGTCGGACATGGTGTAGCCATTAGGAGTCTCTGAGGGATAGGTGCCCATGTCTTTATGGTACTTAAGCCCCAAGACCATGCCAGGAAAACAATGGATCCTCGAATCCTGCTTGTGATCAATTACAGGGTATGTTGATAGGTGGTTAAGGATGGGTTTGTATTTCTTTACCCACCATGGCTTGAGATCAGTCACGACGAGTTGCACCCTGGATTCGAAATGGCGGGTGGTTATGAAGAGTGGGACGATTACGTCATTGAAATCGTGGAAGAGGTTGCTGGTGAAACCTGCAGTGGAGAAGACCACTGCAGGGACATTATGGTGAACACTACAAGACTTGGCCTCGTCACTTTGGCTACCACGCACCAAAATGGGGGTCACTGTGGCCATGGCATTCTCGGCCAGCTTGCCTGCATATGGCTTCACTGTGCGGTTCAAGCGTCGAGTCGTAGGTAAGTAGATAGTGGAGGATGATGGGTCCAGCCTCGCATTTGCTATTATGACACATACATCAGAGACTGGGTGTGAGATGCAGGATAAACCTTCCCCATAGGACTCCATGCTTCCACCACTTGTTCCTGAGACATTCCAATTTGGTTATCACACGTATTTTCCATTTGAACCCATTCATGATGTGAAACCATAAGATCTAACTCGAGAGAACAAGATATCAGTGTTGATATCTGAAACGCAATATCCCAAGTTCAAATTCCTTTGGTGAATTAACAAGAAAAAAAAAAAAGAATGAAAAAGAAAGAGATTTTCAAGTTCATGAATATCTTACTTACCAAAAGAAAATGTTATTTGATCTTGGGAAATATATCAAGGGTACAGTTGGCATACGGATGCATCCGTTGCTGTAAAGGTAAGGTGCGCCTTCAAATTATTTTATCATGGTATATAATTTTGATGTAAAATGTTCTTAGCATTATCTTAAAATCTATTTTTATATCGAATTATAAAACTTTAAATTTCACAAATGGTCAAAATCAAGTTGATCTATAAACATATGAAAAGCTTGAAAATGGACGGTGTAGATAATATGTTGTAAAATGCACTATTTCTAAGACTTAAAATCCTTTTATTTTTCATGATCATGCATCTCGATGTCGAGATGATCAATCAAAGGGTTTTTCAACATTAAAACTACCTTTTCCGATGGATACATAGGTGCATCCGTAGCTCTACATTATAAGGTTGCAACCTTACATAAACTTTTTCCATTTAATCAATATGCACCCTAGAAGTGAACTATTTAATGTATTACCTATTTTTTGTTTTAATTTCAAAGATCTCATCAAAATGCATTAATTATAATAGTTGAAATTTTAGGGGTATTTCAATAAATGGGTAAAATGTTCCTAGGGATCTGCCTTTAATCTTTTCCAAATGCTACTGCACCGTAACTATGTTTTTAATTTTAAAAATGACAAACCTTCACATGAAACGCACTTTGGCTGAAGAATTTTATGTCATTTCAAGGAGAGTCTAAATAAAGTTTAAAAACATCGGATATCATAATCTTGCTCATGCACCATTATGAATATATGTCATAGGGTGGCAAATCATGCACCATTATGAATATATGTCATAGGGTGGCAAATGGTCGGGTCGGGTCCGGGTCTTGGATTAGACCCAAAAATTAAAATCTCTATGTATTTAATTATATCTAAATATATTTCATATATTGAGACCCGAAAAATATTACCTGACTTGGACCCATATCCAACCTGCCAGGTCCAATTTTTGGACCCATACCTGGACCCGGATTGGGTCTGCCCCTCGGGTCGCGGGACCAGCCCAGGTCTGGGTCCAGGACCATTGCAATCCCTACCCATGATGAGAGAAGATTGGACTATGTTTTCAAATAGGGTGTGGTAACCATTGCAATCCCTACCCGTGATGAGAGAAGATTGGACTATGTTTTCAAATAGGTTGTGGTAAATGTCGTTTTAATATTGGCAATCTACCTTAAAATATATTTTTATCTTTATTTATGAAGTTTAAAGCTTCAAAAATAAAGTAGATTGATAGATATATGAAAACTTGAAAATCTTGAAAATTCATGTTCTAAAAATATGTTACAAAATACAGTATTTTTAAAACTTGAAATCCATTTTTTTCTCATCTCCATACATCTTAATGTCGAGATGATCAATTTGAGGATATATGGGGATCAAAATAACCTCTTCTAGTGAAATTTTTGAGATAGGCTCTAATTTGATTGTTTAGAGCCTTGGCTATATATAAACTTTTCCCTTTTAGGTATCAGCCCAGGGCCTGTTATAGAATTACACCTCATGGGTGGTATTATAACCTTGGTTGCTATTGAGTTTGGTTCATAGGACGTAAAGGTCCATGACTTGGTGTTGGTCTCGCTTACGTAAGGTCTTAACTTTTGGCTCTTTTATCTACAAAGTGGCTGTTCTTAGGATTCAAACCTGCGCTCTTCCGCTAGCTGAGCCTTTTACAGTCACACCAAGTGATGCCCCTAGTTTGGTTCATGAGCATGTTTCTAAATAATTGAGTCGGCAGGTGTTAAATATTTAAGTCTTAGAATATGGGGTAGGTGATCAATCCATCTTGTGTTTTAAAGATACTTTTGTATTTCACACAATATGCCATTTTGCCAATCAAATGTGAAAGGTTTGCTTGGACCCACAAATGTCAAACTCAAAAAGAGCCACTCAAAATCAGCATCATGACCATAGCATTTCGATTATCGTGGGTATAAAATTAGTGGAAAATACAAACAATGTCAGTTTCCCATCCACTCAAAAAAAGAGAAGGGAGAAAATTAATAGAACATTTTGATCGAGGGACTGCTACTTGTGTTGATGTTTTGCCAAACCCAGTAACTTGATTAAGGAAATTCCAAACCCATTATTATTTTTTAAGCTTTAAATTTTACAATTAGTATCGAAATAAATTTTCAGGCCATCGTAAAAAATTTTGATATTAAAATGACATCTTTGACACTATTTAAAAGTGTGCATTACTTTGACTGTTCAGGGCTTCACTTTGATTGTTTAGGGCCTCATCCTTATACGATCTTCACCCTTTGAAAAAAGGACTTTCCTATTAAACAATTAAGTCTTAAGACTTGTTTGATTCCTACTACTGAAATACTGAAAGAAAAAAGAATGCTATCCGAGCATATTCTCACATAAGCAAGTTACACTTGTTCTTGGCACTTTGAACACTAAAAAATCAAATGAATGATCTAGATTTGTTATTGAAACGAAAATTCTTGTAAAACATCTTTTGGACTTACCATAGAGGCAAATCAATTTATTTGAAAATTTTAGGATTAGAAACATCTCCTGTATCTCTCCAGTGGGAGCCAGTGTAAAGTTCATTTTAATGGGATCACAAAGTATTATTCTTTCAAACTTGGTTTTAAGGGTGCGGCCGCGGCTTCATCCAAGGCATAGCTTAGTTCAAGCCACAGCCTTCATAAAATTCCAGTTTTCATTAAAGTATGAGAAATGAATAAGCCTGTTTGAATGTACTTGTTAGTACCGCTATTCACTATTTCAGTAAAATTATTTCTGATGATGAGTTATCTGATTGGTAGAATACGAGCATGTAATTTTACATATAAGTTTATCATTTTAAAAAGTTGTTTTTACTTTATTCTATATACATTTCTCAAAATTAGATGTTTTTTCCTATAAATAGTGAAAAATAGCCTGAAATTGTTGAAGGCTTTAAATTATTAAATAACATTATACCTAACACAAGAAATACACCAACAATTAAGACAATAATACTTTCAGAGTATCTTAATTTTAAGGATGAGGTTTAGGGTGACAAGCCTCACCCAAAAAGAAAATAGTCTCTTCCAGATAAGGAGAGGTTTCTATAAGGTTTCTATTAAGACTATTTTCTTTTTGATACTATTTAGAGGGGTGCCTTACTTTTATTTTGGGTGAGGTTTCTATAAGAGCGAGAGCAATCATCTAATGCAACGGTTGTGTCGTAGTATAATGCAACGTTGTACCATGGGTTTATAAGATAGTCTATTCTAGATAAGAGTAAATGTCATAGAAACCTAAGCCTAATAAGCAACAAACCATGGAGAATAAGGGTGAGAAGCCTCAGAGGGGCTGCACGCATAGCATGGCTTTCATGCTCATGAATGAACGGCAAAGAAACTTGGAGCTTTTCTGCACAAACAAAGAGAACATAAAAAAAAAAAACATATTATATAATTTGTATTTGGATTTTTTTATAAGAGTAACGATAATATGAGACCCTCCCACACTCATGTGAGTAAGACCTCAAATGATCACCATTAAATTTTGATGCAGATATCTAGAAAACCCATTCACCCAAGTCTCACACCCATGTCATAACTTTTCTAAAGATCTATATCAAAATTTAATAGTAATCCTTTGGGGTCCTACTCACATAGGTATGGGAGGGTCTCATAATATCATTTCACTTTTTAAAATGTTTTTAAATTTTTTTTTTAAGATCCTCATCTCGACCTCTAAACTCGAGATACTCAAGCTCACCGAGGTGGCGAGCCCCGATTGGTTCGCCTGAGTGGTCGACCATTACATAAAGCTAGAGGCAAGATGTAAGAGAGAGGAAGAGATGTACTAATACTTCTCGAGTTCAAAAAAAAAAATTAAATTAAATTGTAGGAGACAGAGAGAAAAGAGGGGATTACTGCAAGCGTTATTGATGAAATCGGGCCATAACAGGGAGCTACAGAATAGAGCTACAAGAAGGCCTCCAGTTACACGCGTGAGCAATGGAATTTTTGTGGGCTTACCCATCTTTCAACACATCTCCATATGCCAGGGGAACCTTTTATAAACCCAATGCCTTCTTTAGAGAGAGAGTGTGTCTTAGAGAGAGAGAGTGAGAATATGGTCTCAAGGAAAATGTTTATACTGTTGAAATAAGGTGCACTTAAAAATCCTCCAGTGGAGAGTATTTTGGCATAGGAGACCCTCTAACTGATTATCTCGACCTTAAGATGAATGGACACGAAGAAAAAAAAAAGAATTTCAAGTCAAAAAAATAGTACATCTTATAACAAATTATATAGACCGTCTATTGTTAATATTTTCAAATTTTTCTTGATCTGTGTCATTTTTTAAATTTTATAACTCAAGATAAAAAGCATGAGATTTTCGACACCAAAATGGCATATCTAAGTAAATTTTATAGGTCGGCCTTACGTCTACAGTACAAGGAGACAACCTTGTACAAACCTCACCCCTCTTAGAGAGAGACTTTGTTTGGAGAGAGAGAGAGTGAGAATGTGTCTTAGAGAGAGAGAGAGAAAGAGAGAGAGGGAGTCTCAATAATTTGGAAGTTGGGAGGTCATATGGCAAGCAGTTTGAAATTGGAATCCCGAGTGCGACCCGCTAACAAATTGTTGTATGATATATCACACAAAAAGCCTGAAGGCTTGGAAGTTGAAACAAGAGGCCCATTCCTTTTGTATTGGTCTATAAGACTTTTAACTATGGGCTTCCTGGCTCTTGCCACTTTCAATCATATCATATTATTATATATTTAAGCAGATATTGAAAAAAGATTATGAATGACCTACTCCATTTGTTTTAGAGTTGCAACACTAAATTCTTGTATTATGTTTTCAATTTATTTAAGCAAACATTTTATTTATACTTTCCAACCCATATATATTTACCTACATCTCTCATATCTCAGTCGTCCGATCTAAATAGATGGTTCGGATGGCTTCAGTTGTACTGTCACAAGTAAGCCACCATTTGATCTAGATTTGACATCTTAGAGTATTTTAATTTTATTTTTTTACAAATCGTATGAACATATATGTATACAAAAAAAGGGTGCATTGTACGGCTTCTGGGGACAGTGCTGGGAAGGATAGGTATAGCATATCTGTCATCATCTCAATGGAGCACACTTAAATAAAATGATTGTATACAATGAGACCATTTGCCTTTAGTATAAGGAGGTCACAATTACTTATAACTATCCGATGTGAAATCTGGTAGCTTGGATCTATCGCAAGGTTCGAGTAAATCTGTTTTGAACATTGAGCTTGATTAATAGAATAAATACAACCATCCAATTGCATATCGAATGATCAAGATCAATTGTGACTACCTTGTATCAAAGATAAATTGTCTTATTTTATACTTTTCTTAAAATATATATAAAAGAATTCAATAAAATAAAAAATAACCAAAATACTCTTAAAACTTTTAAGGGTATTTTATTCATTTTATTTTATTGATTTGTTTTTTATATTTTTCATAGGTGCGAGTTTAAGAGATGATTGAATGCGCCAAATCTGGTATCAATATCATTTATTTAAAAAAAAAAAACTGTGTTTAGGCATGATATATATATATATATATATTGCATACCATGAGACCATTTACTTTTGGTATAAAGTGGTCACAATTACTTACAATCATCCGATGTGAAATTTGATAGCTTAGATGTATCACACGGTTCGAGAAAATTACTTTTGAAGTTTGAGCTTGGTTAATAGAATAAATACAACCACCCAATTTCACATCCAATGATCAAGATTAACTGTGACCATCTTGTACCAAAGATAAATGGTCTCATTCTATATAGATATATATATATATAGTGCGGTTTTTATAGAGCCTAAGCTCCAAAAAATCAAATTAGAGCCTACCTTCAAATAGTGTCGAGAAATGTGGTTTCAATATTGGAAATCTTTGTGATAGCCTTAAAATATAGTTTCATGTTCATTTAAAGTTTAAAGTTTCAAAAATAGTGTAGATCAACATATCTACGAAAACTTAAAAATCTTGAAAATTAACGGTCCAAAAATACTTTACAAAATACACTATTTCTAAAAACTTGCAATCCATTCTTTTCTCATGTCCATGCATCTTGATGTCAAGATGATCAATTTGAAGATATATGGGCGTCCAAACAACCTCTTCAAGTGAAATTTTGGAGGTAAGCTCAAGTTTGATTGTTTAGAGTCATGGCTCTATATACAAAATCAAATTAGAGCTTGCCTTCAAATAGTGTCGAGAAATATGGTTTCAATACCAGAAATCTTTTTGATAGTCTTAAAATATATTTTCATCTTTATTTATAAAGTTTAAAGCTTCAAAAATAATGTAGATCGAGAGATCTATGAAAACTTGAAAATCTTAAAATTTAACGGTCCAAAAGTGCGTTACAAAACACACTATTTCCAAAACTTGAAATCTATTTTTTTATTATGTCCATGCATCTTGATATCTAGATGATGAATTTAAGGATATTTAGGCATAAAAACAATAT